CTACATTGTGAAACTAGAGGGGCAGATGGTTACAAGAAACCAAAAGGAGGCTGTGTGCATGAAAGACAGCAAGCCTGTTAATGGATTATAGAAAGGTACCAAAAAAGATGCCCCACAGTTTCCTGGAACTCTCTTAGTATGCTCATTTATTAGTATGCAAGAATCTGAAAACTGCCTGTATGTTACAGTACCTGCCATTGACAAAATCATCAAACAGTCTGGAACGCTCGGGGCCAGGCTTCAGCTGGTACGGCAAGTACAGCGTACAAGGAGATCTGAATTCACAGTCAACTCACAAAGGAGAAAAGGAAGGCAAGCAGGTCTCCACTGCTTTAAACACAAGGTGACGGGTCTGCTAGCACACAGTTGTGCTCTAAATAATTCAGAGGCACCCACGCAGGTTAGGGCATATCTGAAGACCCATTCCCAGATGCTCATGCTAATATTCAGCAGCAGCTGTACAGTTTAGTTGTTGCTCCTAAAGATGGGGTGAAAAAGCTTCAAACATGGTGGTTGATGTGTCTGCATCCTCTGCAGAAAGAATGCTTCCAGCTGCTACCGTTCAAAGTGCATTCACACTCCACTGTGACTCTTGCCTCCTCAATGTAGCCCTGGTTGGTGGTTTTTTAATTACTCTTTCAAAATACAAATCAGCATACAGTCTTCTGTATTGGAGCATGTTAAACAATAGGTATTAAAGACAGTTTTTAGAATGAAATCATTTCTGTAGGTAAAAAGGATTTTATTAAGCTATTTTTTCAGTTAAGTTATGGTTTAGTTGAAGTGCATGGAAATGGCTTTTTCAATATTCTTCTCTTCAGCTACTGCTTTGACAATATCAAGCTGAATCTGATCATCAACATCATTGGTATCTAGCAGGGAAGCTGTGGTGTGGACACACCCCTCTTCTGCCATTGACACCAGCTGATTCAGTCACAGGGGCAGCCCCAGAGCCACTCCTGCCCCACTCTGGCTGTAGGCTTCAGGGAGCAGCTGTGCAGGGAGCTAGGCTCAACCAGGAACAGGGTGTCTATGTGCAGGTTCACCCTTCCAGCATCTGCCCCCAGAAGGAACTGCAGGCACCTGGGGTAGGGGGTGACACAAGGAGCAGGGCCTGGTGGGAGGAACCTGTACACCATAGCTGTTCCTGTAGCCCCTGGCTGGAGCAAGGAAGGAGTTACTCTGCTCCTGCCCCCCAGTTCAGCTGGAGACAGCAGCAGTGGTGTCATAGGAGGGGAAGGGGAGTCCCCTGGGTCTGTCCCCCCATCTTGAACTTCTGCCTGCTTTTAATAAAAGCATTCAGTTGGGTTTTTTTCTTGTGCTAAACCTGTTTGCGAAATGCAGCTATTCATGCTCAGCTCACATTTCTAAATTGTGTATCCGAAGTGATTTGCATTAAATTTGAAAGCAATGCACATTAACAGTAATTAGCTGTAAAAGTGCATTCATGTTTAAATTACATGCCACATTTATTGGCATTCACAAAAAAGTTAGATATTGCCTGAATTGGCCATCATACCCACCTAAATTGACATTTTCATACTTTCTGCAGATTTAATATCCAAGTTATCATGCTATTTTCTACAGTGCTCTTTGGAACAGTTGTAGCAGATAGAATTGTGAATTGTAAGGTAGAAATGTGTAGCATAGATAGTTCTTGTAAAAACTTTTAACATTCAGAAGACTACTGATGCTACAGTGAATGTGTCAGCTCTTTTCACCTTCTATCTGGTTTATAAACACAGCTTTCCTATCAGGGTAAAATGTGCACCATTTTAAGGCCAACCAGGGAAGTGAACAGTGTAATATGAAAGCTTTTGATTAAACCCTCTTTAGTTAAACTCATTTCTGAATCTGAATTTTCCAGAAGATATCCACCAAGCACTAGAGTGGAGTGGCTGAGCAGCTAATATATAGAGAACAAATTATGGAAGCAAAATAATAAGGGCTGTTTTTGTTCATGGGTAGTTTTATTTGCAGGTGAATAATTAGATTTTGAAGAAAGTCTGCTGCTTAGTTGCAGGGTTCATCCAGCACAGGCAGAAGGAATCCCATGTGAAGCCAAGGAGAGCATTCATTATGATATATGTACCCCACTCCACTACAAGCTGAATTGGATGCCAGAGGTGTAACAAGATAGCTGGGTGACCAAGGCAGCTGTGACACACAGAAGTAGCAATAACTTCTGGCCGTTGCTGTGTCGCTAGTGTAGGTGTGTGGCTGAATAGATAACTGCTGTTTTTTCTGCCTCAGTCACAGAGTACAGCACTTGGGGCTGCTGTCCTGGTCACCCGACCTTGGTTACACTACTGCTAGACACATTTTAACACAGTCCTCTAAACAGCCATATACTGATATTCATGTTCAGTTACTACTGGCCCGAAATAAATTTGAACTTACAAGCAAGAGGTCAGAATAATGAGTGCTGAAATGCCCCAGCTTACTAACCTAAATAAAGTAACCTGTTTTGCAGAAGGAATATATTCCTGTGACTCAGAATAAGCAATTGCACTCCTGAGAAGCCAGGCCACTTACTTGCTTTTGGCAAACTTGGATGCACCCCCGTTTGACAGATCTGGCACAGCACTCTGTAGTGAGAGCTGGACAATAACCCATTTCTCAGCCCTGCTCTTACGGTTTTACTTCCAATTCTAATGAACGGCAGTTAATGTTGTTTTATTTTAAAGTTATTAATTTTGCCATGGTATAATGCATTGTGATATTACAGGCTTACCTTTTTACATGGACCTCATTCTACTTTACCAAATTATGTGCCCAAGTCCATTAAATTGCTTATATAAAGCACAGATTAAGACAAACCTATCTGCTAGTTCAGATCTGAGTATCAAGTCAATAGTAATGCAGCCATTCACAGATGAATAACACTTCTACCAAGTTTCTATGTTTAACCTCTCCTACCTGCATTTGTAAATGGAGTGGAACAAAAAGTAGAAGTTATTAGCTTGCAGGTTGGTGTGTCATGGTTTCACTTGGTCTGATCCCAGGGAAACCTTGAAAGGAATTGGATTTACTAGGTGAAGTAGAAGACAGCCATTGTTTAGCAGAATGTGTGACAGATGGTAGTAAGTAATCGTAGTTTGTAATGGTGGCTTACCATGTAGTGATAATTTGTAATTATACAATTCAATCCCCATTACTAAGTCACTGAAAAGATGAAACTTATGGCATGAAAGTAAATCAGTCGAGCTGAGAAGACAAAGGCCTTTTTTTTTTTTGCCATTCCATTTAATCTCAGTATTTTGAAATTTGGCTTCTTTGCGTTTGGACCAAAACTTACCTGGCAGCCCAGGAAGGACCCTTAGATTTGATCAGAATAATATGGCAATATTGAGGGATTTTGGGGATCAGACATAAAGTTCTTCTGATCCCAGTCTCATGACTGTTGACAGGCAGGATGCCTGGCATGAAGAGTCCAAGGCTGCGCCATTTCCAGTTCCAGTGATCAGGTGCTGACCACCAGCTCCTTGCGCCCTGGCACTTTTAAAAACCTTGATTTTAAAACATGCCACACATTCAAAGCACCATACAAACGAGCCTGAAATGTGTTCCACATTAAACGCAGGACATCTTTGTACCTGGTTTGTCTTTTTATGGCACCATAAATTCGTTAAATCTTTGGCATGTTACAATTTATCACATGATTAACATGGTAATCATGCAATAAGTGTAACTTCTGCCAGAGGCCTTTGATACTTCTTCCTAATTTTACTGCAGATATCACCCACAAGTGCTGTATCCCAAGATAGATACACTAGAAAAGATGACAGTCTGCCTTCTCATACATGTCTTTTAACTTTGTTTTAAAATCACTATTCCTAGCATAGGCAGGGTCCTCCTATCGTAACGTGTCTAAACATTAATTGGAAAATAGAGCCACAGAGTCTTTTACTTTCAACTCGGATCTAAAAACTCTATCCTCTAGGTAATTACTTGTTGTTGACAGCCTCTGTAACTCTAAATCAACTTCCTCTTAAATGTTTGCTGTTTCTGACCAAAGCAATACCATGCAAATACCTTGCATCTTCCATAGAATTTTAATGAGGTGGGGCTTCAGTATTCTCAACGAGTATGCATCTGAAGACCATCCTGTTACTAATATTTATTTGCATACTGAGATGCAAGATCAAGTGAATTCTTGCCTCTTAGTTTCACAATTTTTGAATCCACTAGATCAGTGGTGCTCAACCTTTTTGGCCAGATATCCAGTGCCCAGTCCCTTTATAGGGCAGGTTTGGCAGGGCCCCATCTGTCTGCACAGAGTGGGGAGGAGAGCAGCCCCACCCCAATCCAGCCACGCACTGGAAAAGGGCTTTGTCTGGTCCCAACCTGGCCCCTCAGAGGAGGAGGGGGCTTGGTCGAGTCCTGATTCAGTTCTGCAGTGGGACCAGAGCATGGCCTGGCTCTGCAGGATGAAGGGGTCATGGCCTGACCCAAACCTGGGTGGGCAGAGGGGGGATGTGTCAGCCCCAAACCAGCTGTGCAGGGGTAAGGGGGCTGGCCTGGCCTTGTAGGAGGAAGAAGGTGGGGCCCACTCCAACCTGGCTGGATGGAGGGAAGGAGGAGTGGCCTGACCCCATAGGGAGGGGGAAGGGGCCACAACCCAGCCCCAACCTAGTGTGTGGAGGGGAGGGGGTTTGGTCCAGCTCTGACCTGCCCTGTGGGGCTTGGAATTTTGGTAGCGGGGCAGAGTGGCAGTATTAATTGCCACTGTTCCCTCGCCACCAAATTTCCCAAACCACGGGGAGCCCGCAAGCTAGGTTCTAAGGCTCTGAGGGCTGCATTCGGCCTTTGGCCAGAGGTTGAGCACTCATGCAGCTTAAAAAGAAAAAGTTAAGATAAACAAAAGAAGTTGGAACTATTCTGGCCATGTATAGCTCTCTCTCCAGTTATAGTGGCTGTCTGAGTCTCAGAAATTAACAGGTTCTGTCTTTTGATGTCTTTTCTGCGCAGGCTGTAACCTTTATGTATTTCTTTAACAGGCATTAAAGCTGTATTTTCTGGACACTGCCATAAGAATGCTGGCGGATTCTACAAAGGCCTAGAAATGGTGGTTTCGTCAGCAATAGGATGTCAGCTGGGAGAAGATACTCATGGGCTTAGAGTGGTCATTGTCACAGAGGAAGACATTGTTCACAGATACTACAGTTTAAATGAACTGAGTAATCAAGGGATAGGTAAGGATCTACTGGATCTGCTGGTTAAACAAAAATAGCAGTTTTCTTACAGCTCTTCCTTTTTTTTAAGTATTTTTATTTCACATTATATAAAAAGTAGAAACTTAAGTTCAGAAAAAACACTACTATAGGCTGAAGATACAGATATGTGATCATTATACACAAAGATAGTTCTAGACTTACCATTCAACAAAGCAGAATGGCATATGGAGACACTTACACCTTAAAGAATGAAACCAACTGTATGAAAAATAAGGGAATTTGTACACGTGACAAAAAATTGGCTGTTTTTGAGTTTTAATTGGGTCATGCTGTACATGTGCAGGGGGTTTTCATGATTTAAATTAGGTTGTTACATTGCAAACTAAACCATATCTGCATGTAGTTTAGTTTGCAACGTAGCTATTTGTAACACTGCAGCCTTCTGACATCCCGTCCCTCTCCCCCTGCTGCAGGAGAGGCAGGCTGAAGGCAGAAGTGGCGAGGGACCGATCCTTCTTTTTGTGGAGCCCGCCTGCCTCACGCACATCTGGGGAGCAAGCTGCTGGTGGGCCCAGCAGCCTCTGACCTGCAAGTGGAACCGCCCAGGTGGGCCACTAGTGGGCAGGTACTGCCCCAACTCAGCAGCACCCTCCCGCTAGCCGCGGGCAGGCAGCCCCAGGGGGCACCGCCACAGTGGAGGGAAGGACCGGGGCCCCCAGCAGCTCAGGCCCCATCAGCAGTTTGCCCCAGGGGCCTTGGGGGGTGGGGGGAGGATCGGGCCCCTTGCCGCTTTTTTTCCTCCCCTCTGGAGCCCGCCTGCGCAAGCTGCCACCAGGCCAAGGGGCCCCTGAGCTGGGGGGGTGGGAGGGGCAGTCCTTCCCTCCATGGTGGTGACACCTTCCGGGGCTGCCTGGGCAGGGTGCTAGCTACATTGGTACTGCACCAACTGAATCCAACTCTGCATGCTGGAAGCTCGGGGTGAGCTGCTGGCAGGACCTGAGCTGCCGGGGGCCCTGCTCCTTTCCTCCACCGCAGCAGCAGTTCCTGGGGCTGCCCAGGAGGGTGGCTAGTGGGCAGGTGCTGTCCAAGCTGGGGCAGTACCCCACTGCTAGTCACCCACCCACACAGCCCCAGTTGGTGCCACCACCATGGAAGGAAGCTCAGGTGCCACTGGACCTACTGGCAGCTCACCCTCCCCGCCACAAGAGACATGGGCAGGCTCTGCAGGGGGAAAAAAAAGGGATTGGGCCCCTCACTATAACAGTGACAGAAGCCCCTAAATTGAAACAGTGGGGTTTTAATCCTCATAATTAAAAACCCACCATTTCAATTTCGGGGACTAAACCCCCGTCACACGTACAAGCAACCTAATAGAACTAATGGCATCACTATTG